CCCGCCCCTCTCCAGCCGCGGGGAGGAGGCTGAGCGAAGCAATTCGGAGCGGCTCTGAAGCTGGGGACTGAGTTCACGAGGGTCTCTCTACAGGACTTCCTTCCCCAAATTTAGGGACTTATTTCCCGGCTTGATTGTATATGCAATGAGCCCTTCTTCTCGACATCCCCCAAGTCCAAATAGTTCATTTCCTATTTCTAGAGCAAAACTGGAAAGGCAGTCTCCCAGAATCTGGTTCCTGACCCTGTTCTTGGGCAGAAGCTGGATGATGCCTGGTAGCAGGGAAAGAGAATCCGGGCTTTTTCCCTCTCCGCCCGCCGGGAAGCCGAACCCTTCCCCCTGCCCTGTACACCCTCGACATTGAACTATTGGGTGCTTAACACGGAAGCACCCGCAGGGTGGAGTGAGCTGCGTTCTGCAAAGGAAGAAACAGTCTCAGACTAAAGATGCTGGAAAGGACCTGGGGGAACATCCTGCCCGAAGTTTCCCCTCCTGGACTCACTTTCTTGTGTAGGTTAACTTGATCCTCATAAATTCTAAATTATTTCTTCCATTCCGGTTGAGTAGAAGCGGGGAAAGGCAGTCGGCCTTCCAGGTGCGTTCTTCTAGTATCTGATTAAGAAGGGAAGCGAAACATAAAGCCGGAGAGCTGCAAATAGCAGCCTGAAAGGGCAGGAGCCTGGGGTCCATGCGCTTTTCTACGCCCCCAGGGAGCCTGCCAGCAGCGGTCTTCTGCGAGCCAGAGAAGAGCCCAAAAGGGGGGTCCGTGAACAGCTGCCCAATGAGCAAGGGCAGAGCCCGAGAAGCAAGCCCTGCGTTAGGCCTTGGCCTTGGGGTCTCTCGGTGGTCTGCCTCTATCCTCTTGGCAAAGACTGAGGAAAAGAGTGAAAATGTTGCCCTGGCCGACATGGCTCAGTTGGTTGAGCGTCATCCCATGCGCCCAGAGGTTGCCGGTTTGATTCCAGGTCAGGGCGCAGGCCTGGGCTTTGGGGCTCAATCCTCAGTGGGGAGCCTGCAGGAGGTAGCCTTTCATCCACATTTCCCTCTCTCTCTATCCCTCTCCCTTCTTCTCTAAAATCAATAAAAACATATTTTAAAAGAAGAAGTGAAAATGTTGGCAGTTCCCAAGCCCAGAAAAACCCAAAAGAAGCAGATTAGGTCGTGGCTACTGGCCTGTTCCCAAGAACCCCATCCAGGTTAGTAATCCCTTTGGTTGTTTGTGTTTTTCTGGAGAGAGAGTTAGTAGAGTGAGAGGTAGATAAGCTGCCATCTGTCGGAAGTGATTTTTTTCAGGCAGGAGCAAAGATTAATCAGAGGTGATGGTTCCTGTTGGCCAAGACCTGTCTCTCTCCACCCTCTACCCCCCAGAGTAGTGAATGGTGGAGCCTCTGGACCTGCATCATTCAGTGTGGTCACCACAAGCCACCTGTGCCCCCTGAGCACGTGAAATGTTGCTGTAAGTGTCAGATGTGGTGTGAGTGTAAAATACACACTAGATGTGAAGACTTAGTAAAAAAAAATGTAATGTATCTCATTAATAATCTTTATATTGATTACATGTTGAATAATGTTTTGGCTATACATCAATTAAATAAAAAATATTATTAAAAGTAATTTCTGGGGAACTTTCAACAATATATATATATTTTTTTTAATATATTTTATTGATTTTTAGAGAGGAAGAAAAAATAAATAATTTTTCTCTTGAAAATATTTTTGCCTGAGTTTTAAAAGCAAGACTTTTACATTTTTAAATTTTTTTTTTTTAAATATATTTTATTGATTTTTTCACAGAGAGGAAGGGAGAGGGACAGAGAGTCAGAAACATCGATGAGAGAGATCGATCAGCCGCCTTCTGCACACCCCCCAGTGGGGATGTGCCCGCAACCAAGGTACATGCCCTTGACCGGAATCGAACCCGGGACCCTTCAGTCCACAGGCCGACGCTCTATCCACTGAGCCAAACCGGTTCGGCAACAATATATTTTTTTTAATAAAAAATTTAATTTCCTCTCAGGGTCCCTCTGTCCTCCCCTCCCCGCAGGCTTGTTTTTTTCTATTTTTTTTAATGTGGCTCCTAGAAATTTTTAAATTATATAGATTTGCTGGTCTGGACTGGCACATCTACCCACACACACCTGCATATGCATGCACTTTTCTCTTCATCCCTCACCCCCAAACCAAAAGTAATTAATTTCCTCCTCTGCTGGTCTATGATTTGCTTGTGCTTTGAGAACCAATCAAGTCTTTCTTGACTGAGCACTTCTCATGGCCCAAATCCCAAATACCCATGTGTGTAAATGAGAGAGCCTACTTCTGTTTTCTTAACAGCTTCTCAGTCCTCCCTACTGCACACTCCATTTGAGGTAGGAACCACTCGAGGGAAGGAAGGTTATAGTATCAATTTTTTGTACTTTCTGCTGCAGATGTCTTCGCTCTGTTTTTCATTGGTGAGGCCGGCAAGCATTTGGTGACTAGCCACTCTGCCCACACATAGCACTACTACATTTTGCCCTTTCTGAAAAATAGCCCAGTTATTCAGCATTTCTCACTTCCTAAGTCTAAACCCAGGGGTGAGTTCTCCCTTTATAAAGTAAATAATCTTCTTTGTGAACCAATGTCACCCCAATAAATTCAATTAAAAATAATCTCTTTATGTAGGGCAATTTAGCGTTGAGTGCAGTGGAACAAGAAAGGCGGGGAGGGAGGGCTTGGGGACGGTGGGCAGAGAAAGTGCCTGGGGGACCCGGGGCTTTGAAGCCTCATTTCCTCCTGGAATGCGCCTCTGAGTCATTGGGCCTCCCCCCCCCACCCTCGTCCCCCCAGTCTGTACCTCCCAGGGCTTCCCTCCCTTGGGGACGGTGGGCAGAGAAAGTGCCTGGGGGACCCTGGGCTTTGAAGCCTCATTTCCTCCTGGAATGGGCCTCTGAGTCATTGGGCCTCCCCCCCCCCACCCCCATCTGTACCTCCCAGGGCTTCCCTCTCTGGGGGCTTGAAGGCAAACAGAGATGTGCCCACAGTCACCCAGCAAAGAGGCCCCACCTCTTCTCCCCTAAACCCTGCCTCTCCTCTAAGGCTGAAGCCTTCCATCTGGGGACCACAAACTAAGAGGGGGATTATGCTGCGGGCAGCTGACTCTCCGGTTGCTGACTGGGAAGAGGAGTGAGGGGAGTTCATTATAATTCATTTTCGCGAATGTTTAATATTTCAATTAATGTGATTAGCCCCAAGCCTAAATGAGCAGCAGGGCGGCAGATCTGCTGACAAGACACGGGGTAATGAGATCAGCGGGGCAGTGGGGTCTTCCTGCAGTCCATCCGCACAGGCGTGATCTGTTTATCGTCTCCATAAATACCAAGATCAGATTAGAAGCAAGGAAAGACGCACTGGGGGTGAGGGAGGTGAGTGGAAAGTTACTTCCCAGATGTGTTTGCACTCCCAGTTCCCTGGCACTGGCATCACATGCCTGACCACACAGCACTGGGTCCTCTTCCATCCCCCCACACACCCACCTTGGGAGACCCTACTGGGAGGACCTCAGTGCCCATGTGATGAAGTGTAATCATGTCTACACACACACACACACACACACACACACACATACGCACCTGCCGAATATGGCTTCAGACCACAGACACCCACATAAGGAAGGATGGAAAGTAGTCACAGTGAATCAAGCAGTAGGAAGAAGGCCATCTCCCACTCAGGGCTCAAATGGAGACACAGGAAGAAGAAAGGCCAGGCTTGACCACTCTCCCATTCCCACTAGGAGCTTTTTACATTTTAATCCTCACGGGAGGATCCGTTGTTATTCATTTTAGAGAGAGAGGAGGGGGGAGAGAGAAACATCCATCCATTGCCTTTGACCAGGAACCAAACCTGCGACCTTCCGGTGCACAGAAAGACGCCCCAACCGAACCCAATGCGCCACCTGGCCAGGGCCCCCCGGAGTTAAAGGCGTGGCCTGGGGCGCTGGGCTGCCTGCTCCACTCTCAGCCAGATCTCTTCCCAGCTGCATGAGCTAATAATGGAACCTCCGCCATAGGGTGGTGCTGAGGTTAAACAAGTTAGTAAACACATAGCACTTGGAACCAGGCCTGGGGCACAGTAGGTCCCAGCTAAATGCTGGTACTCTTACTTCTCCTCCTGAGGGAAGCCTGCTCGCGGCGACAGCTGAGCAGGGGGCTGCTGGGAGTCCGTTGGGGCATTTTTCAGACACACCAGCACCCCTGTGAAGACACTGCTCCCCTCGGAGGGAAGAAGGGGATGACGGGAGGCAGGGTGTTCTAAAAAGCGTCCGAGCCCCTGTGGTGAGCCCTGGCAGACTGGTGTCAGCAGGTGCTCCCTGCGTTAGGGGAGCTGTGCTGGGCCCAGTGCATGGGGGGGGGGGCAAGCTCCCTCGAGATCATGAAACATAGTTGTTTAGGGGAGTAAGGGCCCCCAAATGTGCTTCCCCCACCTCTCTTCGCTCCCTGACTCAATTCCAGTCCCACTGGAGGAAGGGGGGGGGGGGCAGGAAGAAGAGGGAGGGAGATGGCGTTTCTGCCCCATATCATAGGGGAGCTTGGCTGTGTGGTTCTGAATGAACCGAGAGCTACTCTTGCCCGAGGTTCCTGGCATCAGTGTTCATCCGAGGAGTGTCTGTTAAGCACCTTCTATGTCTGAGCAGGACACTGTGCGAGACACTGTGAACAGCAAGACGCTGGATTAAACGGCCCCGGTCTTCAAGGAGCTGACACGTGAGAGCTGGCGCCTCCCTGCCCACCCCCCTGCCCGCCGCTCACACACAGCCCCCCGGGGAGGGCAGGGGGCGTCGGCAAATGCCAGCGAGACACAGCTTTCCCGGCTCCTCTTCTGGAAGATACACCTCCTCTCTGCGTCCATCTCCCCGCTCTCCCTTCTCCGCCCCCCTGGCCACCTTTCCTCTCGG